GTGATTAGAGACCTGCTAATAAAGTATGTTTAACACTCTAGCAGCACTATAGATACTGCGAAATTAGCTAGCATAGAAGGCCTAGATAGTAAGGATAACTCTACCTTCTCTAGTAGTATTCTGAAGTTATTATTATTAAGGCATGTTATGTTAGGGTAAAAGGTGGTTGTGCTAAGAAAAAGTGGCTAGTTTGGTGATATGGCCGGCTCAGTGATAATCTACGTTATAACTTATTGCTTTAACATAAAGGGAGACTGTAGCTTGCTCTCTAAGCCTATAATACTAGACGGTTTCAGAGCTATTAGGCTGCTGCTGCGTTTAAAGTTAGCTAGCGCAGACTCTCTAAACACGCTAACAATACTCTATTTTAACTCAATATACGCGCAAACTGATAGAAGCTTACTACAACTAAAGAGTAGACAATTGTCTAATATGTCCTTAATCTTAATTTACAAGGATTTGCGCCTTAGCTGTGTAAGGTAGTAGATATAGCTAATAAACTGTTAGGTGTGTGTAGTAGGGAGCCTATTAGTAAACTCTAGGCTATAAGATTTATAACATGTTTAGATTAGCTTAAGATAGCATTTAACTAAGCAAAGGATAGATAGAGGATACTACAGGAAGATCCTAAGGTAATTAACACGTAGTTTATGCTAGTAGAGGGTACTAAGGCTAAGTATAGCATCTACAACAATAACGTGTACAACTTTAATAAGACTAGGTTCTAGATAGGCGTGATAGGGTTAATGAAGGTTGTCACAGGCGCTAAGAGACGCGCTTAACCTAAGCTTGTTCAGCCAGGCGATTGGGAGTGGGTTACAGTTATACAGAGCATCTGCGCTGCTAGATATGCGACCCTGCCTTTCATCATCTACAAAGGACGCATCCACATCTCTGCCTAGTACGAGGAGACAGATATACCACACAATTAGAAGCTCTCTGTCTCTAAGAACAGCTGGACAAACAACGCGCTTGGCCTTGAGTGGTTGAAGCATTTTGACGCGCATACAAGAGCGCGTTAGGTAGGGAGATACAGGCTACTTATCTTGGACGGCCATAAGAGCCACCTTAACTAGGATTTTAAGGACTATTTATAGTAGTCTGGCCAAAGGCCAATAAAGGATATCTACTTCCTAACAACTTTTGCTAAAAAGCATGCACAAGTTAACTAGACGTCTAGTTAACTGCGTAGATAATATATATCTAGCTTAAGCCAAGCCAGCTAAGCTAATGTAACCGGCTAGCTCTAGCTCTTCTTTAGCTTTAGAGTCTAGACCGTTACATCACCTCCCTTCTCTCCCGCTCGTCGGAAGAGGCATATAGGTAGATAATACAGCCTACTATAAAAGAATATCTTTTTCTTTTTAATAGCCAAGGTTCCTAAGGGGAATTGAACCTTCGACCTTTAGGTTGTCTAGTTAAATGTAGTAGTCTGGCCAAAGGCCAATAAAGGATATCTACTTCCTAACAACTTTTTGCTAAAAAGCATGCACAAGTTAACTAGACGTCTAGTTAACTGCGTAGATAATATATATCCAGCTTAAGCCAAGCCGGCTAAGCTAATGTAACCGGCTAGCTCTAGCTCTTCTTTAGCTTTAGAGTCTAGACCGTTACACTATTGCCTGGATAACAAGATCCTTACTCTCTATATGCCAGCTCACTCGTCACACATCCTCTAGCTGCTTAACGTGGTCTGTTTCTTGCTGTTAAAGCGCAAGTACTCCTAACGCGTCTAGGACTTGGCACGCTAACGCGTCTTCTACATTAACAAGGAAGGCTTCCTTCTAGCCTTTAGAGACGCGTTTCTTAACATGTTTATAAAGGCTAACTATTAGAAGGCCTTTAAGGCATAAGGGCTAGTCCCTACTAATGCGCAGGTAGTGTTAGATTGCCTTAAGGTGCAACACTGTACCCTACTAGCACCCCCTCTACTAGAGACACTGTGGCAGTTAAGGACTCTAAGCAATACACATAAGTTTAGGTCTTAGTTAAAGCTTATACATAACTCCTTTACTTAGTTACTAGTTACAGCCTAGGCTAGCTTCTCTTAGCTTATTAAAGGTAGTGAATTAATGCTGTACTAAAACGCGCTGTAAGCTGCTTGCATTACTAAGCTTGAAGAGCAATTAGCAGTCATGACTAGGAGAAAGTCGCGCAAGCAAAAGCAAATTTAGCATGGCGGCACACTTGAGTATGGCCCAGCAGCATCACAGGTAGCTGCTATGGTGTCTGTAGTAGCTTAGCCATTAAAGAAGACTTGTGGTGCAGGTACTTAAGAAATAACCTAGTTAGCCTAACAGCGCTGTAGAAACTGTAAAGGCATAGGGCACAACACTTAAACGTGTTAGAAAGATATAGAAGAAGATTCTAAATCTAATAAAAGCACATAGTATGCTAGATTACTATTTAATAGCAAGTAATTCAAGTTGCTGTAATATAAGTTAGGCGCGCTAAGAGATTTTGACTGGTTTAGTGATATAACCAGCTCAGTGATAGAGTACGTTAGTATTAAATATTTTAAAATTGTAAAATTTCACGAACAGATAGAGCGAAATTGTAGTTTAAAATAAGCAAAAAATTATTATTATAGGCCTACTACAACGCAAGTTAAAGAGCGTTGAAGGTTTGTTTGTTAAAGGTTTGTGTTTTGAAGTTGCGACAGCACATCATAGCAGCTGCAGCTGCGCCAGCACACAATGTATCAGCTGCAGCTGCAACAGCACACGACGTAGCAGCTGCAACAGCACACAACAAAGCACCTGCTAACAAGCACACATTGCCAAACAGGCAGGCCTAGGCGTAGAATTCTTAGTTTACCTACTATTCTTAAATAATATTCTTATATTTTCTAATATTTAGGCTACTAGAGCCCTAGCAAAGAATCTTAACTTAGAGTTTTAGTAAGGAATATTAAGCTTAAAACCTTCTATACTTAATAACTATTTTATTAATAGGCCTATAATATTGTTTAATAGCTTATATTATAGAGGAGACTTAGTAGTATATTAATATAATAAAAGTATAACGTAGTTCACAAGCGAGCGGTCCAACCCAAGCGAGCGGTCCATCCCAACCATGATAGCCTAATAACTACTTTGCATTACAATGCCATCCCAACACAACGTGCAATTAACCTATGCTAAAGGGACCTTACAGCTTGCTATCTAAGCTACAATTAAAGATTGTAATAAGAGCAAAAGACGCGCTATTGCAGCCTTCAGCGTACCTCAAACTACTGTCCGCTAACAACGCTAAGGAGCCCTCTCTCAACGTGATCGCGAGCCTAATTTAAAGAAGCTGAGCAAACTAGAGGAGGAGGCCCTTGTACAACGTATACTTGAGCTTAACACAAGAGGAATACCTGCTACAAAGGCTATGGTGCGAGATATGGCCAATGATCTGCTTGCTGAGCGCGGTGGAGAGCCTGTTGGCAAGCACTGGGTAGACAACTTCAAGACGCGTACGCCTGAGATCAAGCTTCGAAGGAGCCGTCCATATAATCGCCAGCGAGCCCTTAACGAAGATGCACGCGTTATAACGCCCTAGTTTGAGCTAGTTGCCAACACAAAGGCCAAGTACAGCATCACAGACAAAGACATGTACAACTTTGACGAGATAGGCTTCATGATTAGGGTTATCCATAGCTAGATAGTCTTTACAGGCTCTAAGAAGCGTAGCACAAAGAGCCTGCAGCTAGAGAACCGTGGTTAGGTCACTAATATACAAGGAGTCAACGCCAAAGGATAGGCTATCCCACCCTTCCTTATCTTCCCTAGCAAGGTCCTTATTACCTTATGGTTTCACAATCTACCTCAGGATTAGGTAATTAAGGTTAGTCCTAATGGCTAGACGTCAAATAAGCTTGGTATTGCCTAGCTAAAGCACTTCAATACCCATACAAAAGACTAGAAGGTGGGTGCACACAGGCTGCTGATTGTGGACGGCCATAAGAGCCACAGCTCACATGAATTCCACAAACACTGTGAGGAAGAGAAGATTATTGTTCTCTGTATGCCTGCTCACTCGTCGCACCTGCTGCAGCCACTTGATGTAGGTTGCTTTTCGCCTTTAAAGCGGGCATATAGTGATGAGATCAGTGGCTTGGCACGGTACAGCTCCAAGCAGATCAAGAAGGAGGCTTTCCTACCAGCCTTTAAAGCAGCTTTTGAGAGGTTAATCACGAAGGAGAACATCTATGCAGGCTTTAGGGGCGCTGGACTAGTTCCACACAACCCAGAGGCGGTGATATTAAAGCTTGATGTGGTCCTTCGTACGCTAACTCCACCAAAGCCAGAGGACACCCCATGGGAATCAAAAACTCTAAGCAACCTCCGTAAGATAGAGGCTCAGTCAACGCTGGTTCGTGAGCGTGTACAACTGCACAGAGATTCCCTAGTTTCTCCTCTGCTTAGAGCAGTTAAGCAGCTGAACAAGGGCATTGCACGGATAGGGCATGATAGCGTGTTAATGCGACAGGAAATAGCAGGGCTTCGCAAGGCAGTAGAGATAGCAACAGAGGTTAGAGGTCAAAAGAGGAAGTATATTCAGGCAGTAGAGAGTCTCACGGTAGGTGAGGTAGCTGATTTAATAGCTAAAAGGGAGGGTAGTAGGCAGCAGGGGGGCAGAGAGCCTGCAAAGAAGGTGCGCACACAGAGGCGTTGCGGACGTTGTGGAGAGACTAGCCACAACGCTCGCACCTGTGTAGTTGAAATTGTTAATGCATCTAATAGCGATGAGTCTAAATAGTATCTCTATCACCTGCAAATTGCAGTAAGTGGTGGTGGTGTTGCAGCATATGCATTGCAATCATCTTAACTCTGTTAGGTGGACCACTCGCTTGGGTTGGACCGCTCGCTTGTGAACTACGTTAGTTTATTTAACGTAGATTATCACCAAGCCGGCCATATCACCGAACTGGCCATTTTCTCTTAGCACGACTAACACAAGTTACTGCAACTACAACTACTTGCTATTAAACAGTGACCTAGCATACTGTGTGCTTAAATTAGATTTAGAAGATGTTTCTGCACCCTCCTAGCACGTTCGTGCGTTGTGTCCAGTCTTGCTGCAGTTCCTACAGCGCTGAACAATTGACTAAGCTCCTAGTTGACCACCTCCACCCCAAGTCTTCTTAGATGGCTGAGCTGCTACACACGCCTCAGCAGCTACCCGCGATGCTGCTGGTGTAAGGAGCTGGCCTCTGCGGGCTATTTGCAAGTATGAATCAAATGGATTTGTTGAGGAGTGGCTGCAGGCGGAGGTCTGCAGACTTTTATGTCCTCCGTGCGGAGGTTACACAATTAGTCAAGATTAGGACCTCCTGACTGGGGGTACAGCTGGGCAGGCGCCTCCTCTCGGAGGTTGGCCGAGGCCGGCGAGCGCCGAGGCGCTACCATCGGGCCTAGCCCGTTACAGCTGGGCCATACTCAAGTGTGCCACCATGCTGAATCTGCTTTCTCTTACGCAATTTTCTCTTAGTTATTACTGCTAATTGCTCTTTAAGCTCTTGCACGCGGGCCTTAATAAGGATGTTTTTGTGCAGCATCTCTTTAGCCCCTTTTACAAGCTTTAAGAACCCCTCTTGCGCTACACTTATTAATTGTTAGAAGGAGTTACTTACAAGCTTAGATTAAGACCTAAACTTGTGTGTATTGCTTAGCGTCTTAGATTGCTACAGTGTTTTAGGTAGAGGTACTACTAGTAGGGTATGCAGCTGCACTTTAAGGTAATCTAACACTACCTATATATTAGTAGGAATAAGCCCTAATACCTTAAAGGCCTTTTAGTAGTTAATATTTATAAACACATTAAGGAACACGTCCCTAAAGGCTAGTAGGAAGCCTTCCTTATTAATATAGAAGACGCATTAGTGTGCTAAGTCTTAAACGTGTTAGGAGTACTTGCGCTTTAACAGCAAGAAACAGACTATGTTAAGTAGCTAGAGGATATGTAATAAGTAAGGTAGTATATAGAGAGTAAGGATTTAGTTCTCTAGGTAATAGTCCTTAAACTCCTAGTTAAGATAGCTCTTATAGCTGTCTAAGATAAGTAACCTGTACACTCCTACCTAACGCGTCTTTATATGCGTGTTAAAGTGCTTTAACTACTTAAGGCTAAGTGTGTTATTTATCTAACTGTTCTTAGAGACTAAGAGCTTCTAATTATAGGGTATATCTGTCTCCTTATACTAGGCAGAGATGTGGACGCGTCCTTTGTAGATGATGAAAGGTGGGGTTGCATACCTAGCGGCGCAGATGCTCTGGATAACAGCAACCCACTCGCGATCACCTGGCTGAACAAGCTCTGGCTGAGCACCTCTCTCTAAGCCTGTTACAACCTTTAAAGACAAAGCAACACCTATCTAGAACCTAGTTTTATTAAAGTTATGCACGTTGTTATTGCAAACACTATACTTAACTTAAGTATCCTCTACTAGCTTAAACTACGCGCTAATTATCTTAGGATCTTCCTATAGTATCCTCTACTAGCTTAAACTACGCGCTAATTATCTTAGGATCTTCCTATAGTATCCTCTGTCTATCCTTAGCTTAATTAAAGGCTATTTTAAGCTTGTCTGAACGCGTCACAAGCCTGCTAGCCTATAGTTTGCTAACAGGCTCTTCACTACGCACACTAAGTATCTTATCAGCCATATCTGCCACCTCACATAGCTAGGGCGCAAATCCTCACGAATTAAGGTTAAGTATATACTAGATAATTGTCTGCTCCTCTAGTATAGTAAGTTTCTAGCAATTAGCGCGTATGTCTAGTTAAAACATAATATTACAAAGGCAATTAGAGACCTGCTAATAAGGTACATTCAACGCTCTAGCAGCGCTGCAGATACTGCGAAATTAGCTAGCATAGAAGGCCTAGATAGTAAGGATAACTCTGCCTTCTCTAGTAGTATTCTGAAGTTGTTGTTGTTAAGGCATATTATGTTAGGGTAAAAGGTGGTCATGCTAAGAGAAAGTGGCTAGTTCGGTGATATGGCCGGCTCGGTGATAATCTACGTTAGTAGAGCTACTATTATAGCAGGATTAGGAGTTGTTATAGCTATTATAGCTGTTATGACTGGTAGAGCTGTTAGCTTAAAATTAGCTAGACATTAAATACACAATTAATAACTATAATAGGCCTACAAGTCCTACTGTTACCCACAGTCTAATGCCACATTTTCCTGATTTCGACAATGGAAAAACTTTTCCTGATGTAGTTAACTACCTCTGCCCTAAGTCTTCTTAGACGGCTGAGCTGTTATAGACGCCTTAGCAGCTACCTGCAATGCTGCTAGGCTATACTTAAGTGTGCTTCTATGCTAAATCTGCTTTCTCTTACAGAATTTTCTCTTAGTTATTACTACTAATTGCTCTTTAAGCTCTTGCACGTGGGCTTTAATAAGGATGTTTTTGTGCAGTATCTCTTTAGCCCCTTTTACAAGTATTTAGAACCCTTCTTATACTATACTTAGTAATTATTAGAAGGAGGTACTTACAAGCTTAGATTAAGACCTAAACTTTTGTGTATTACTTAGCATCTTAGATTACTATAGGGGAACACCATTCTATTGAAATCTAAGAAACTAGTTGAAAAATACTAAGAACAATACTATTAGAATCAGCGAGTCGAGCCGCACCCAACGACACCGCGATGGCAGCGATGCAGGGAGTGCAGCGCGAAGGAGATGGGGGCGGCCAGCCAGACGCGGTACCAGCGCGCCTGGCCAGCAACAGACCCAACAAAGGAAGGGAGGAAGGGGACCACCCTAACCAGAGAAAGGAGATGCAGGGAAGGACAGTGAAGGAGATCTTAAGAGTACTAACAGAACAACAGAGGAAGGGAGCAGAAGGACTCAACACAGTCACCACTGTCCAGGGCGCGACGCAGGTCGCCCGCGACCTCCTGGCAGCTCTCAGCCAGGTAGAAAAAATTTTCACCACTGGGCTGAGAACCCCACCACCAACGACGACGGCGCAGGGCGGGCTAGGAGCACTACAAGCAGTGCTCCAGAAGCTCAATGCCATGGAAAAGAAGATGGAGGGCACCCGGGTCAGGATACAGGAGAAGGAGGGACAAGGAGGGCCGCGCACCTGGAGCCAGGTGGCGGCCAAGGGAATCAGCCAACCCGCAAGGGTTGAGCTGAGATTGGAAGAGACGGAGGGAACTAAGGGAGAGACTACCCAAGCGCAGCTAGAGCGCATCCGGGTCGTGATACCTGACGCGCGCGCGATCATAACCCATCCAAGGTCCGTGCACAAGGTGTCGGTG